TTTTGAACATTTCGGGTGACCAGGGTTTTGGGGTTTTGTTATCCTCTGCCCTGGACCCTTTTGCACTGTAAATGCCATACGGTGAAAGGTTGCATGGTGGAGATTTTCTCTATAATAACAACGAAATTCGTCGAAATATCTATAAGGTACGGTGAATTCTCAATGGTATGTTATGAAGTCAGCTGCACCACCACAATTTGGAACATTGTCACCATAATACGTATGGAGAATCTTCACTGTACAACATTTAGAGTGAGTAGACCACGATAGGGTTAGCAGTGCCGTTTGACTCTATCCTCTGCCCTGGAGCCTTTACACCAATCCCGGAGAACATATGAGTGACCATCCGACATAACAACGTATCTTCATAGGGAAGTCCACAGTAGATACGCTACCGTACGAATGCCACACATACGTGCTTGCCCAGCAGAAGGCTTATCATGCTGGTGGCGCAGGTGATGAAGAAGGCGTGGCCGCGCAGCGGCGGCATGAGCAGGCCGGCCACGGGCGGGGCTATGGCCCTCAGGTGCAGCAGGTTGTTGACCAGCACCACCAGGGGCTGCACGGCCGTCATGACCGTGGAAGCGATGAACGACATCTGAGAAATCGTGCTGCCGGGACACATCGCAATTCAATCCTTGCACAGCATAACAACAGCTCGGAAGGGAAAATCCCTAGTGAGTTGTTCCCAGTGCAGAGTCCGCACTGAGAATGAAAAAGTTATGATCAGTACCGAATTTTGGGCGAGGTATACTTTATAATCCAAAATTTGGGCGAGGATCGTTTCCCCGCCCAAACACTGTGGCAAAAAGCTACGGAAAATTCTGTAAACAGCTTGTGGTAATCCGTAGCCCCCTTATCAATATTCTCCGTAGGCTCTTACAGTATTCTCCGTAGGACCGCACAGTATTCTCCGTAGGACCTTACAGTGATCTTCGTAGGACTATACAGTCTTCCAGGTCCTACGGAGAAGACTGTGCGGACTTACAGAGAATACTGTACGGCCCTACGGAGAATACTGTAAGAGCCTACGGAGAATATTGATAAGAGGGCTACGGAGAATCCTGGCAAAAAATTAACAGAATTTTCCGTACCTTTTTGCCACAGTGAATTTGGGTGAGGAAGGGTGAATCAGCTACCTACATGGCTCCATAGTATTATGACTTTGGTTGATATAAAGTTCCTCGCCCAAAATTTTAGTCATGATCATGACTCTTTCATTCTCAGTGCCCCTTTTGATTTGATTTGAGGCATTCTGGAAGAACGTTGTCTCTGAGAGTAAGCGAGATGTCTGATGTTGTGTAGCAGTTGGCACAACTGGAGTGCAGGATTTTATGTTGGTAACGCTGCAAAGGTTATACAAAATACTCGAACTCTCCTCTAGGCCACACCCTCTGTGTTATCATTCCATCCAACCTGTACCTACACGACTTTGTTTCACTTCACCACAAAATTGCACTCCAAGAAAAGTGTGAATAGTACAACAAAAGTATGACAAAAACTGTACACCAAAAGTCGCCAAAAGTGCAACAGGGATTGTAGAAAGTACAGCGAGAATTGCACAAACCACGAGGCCTGGACTGCACATCATGCTGGTTCCATTGTACTCGGCACTACTTTGAAAGTGCAATAAATTCCTCACTGCAAGAAAAAGTGTGGGAAGTACAACAAAACTACAACAAAAACTGTACACCAAAAGTTCAACAGGGATTGTACAATGTTCAACAAGAACTGTACAAACCACAACGAGGCCTTGAGTGCACAGCACTCGACATGCTGGTTCCATTTTACTTTGCACAACAATTGTTGTACTTTGAAAGTACTATTGATTCCTGATAACAAATTTGTCAGTCATTTGTGTACTTTTGCTGTGGCTTTTTTCTTGCAGTGTGTGTCGAGTTTGCGCCGGTAATGGCCGTTACATTTTTAGATATATTTTGCCGCCGGTGTTCGTGCATTTAAGACCTACCTGAAGCCGACGATGAAGGATCTCGTTGCGCTGAGGAGCAGGTACTGATTGCCCAGCGTGACCGACACGGCTGCGACAAACCACCCGACGAGCCTGAACCACCGCAGGGACGGCATCCGCGGCGACGGCGGCGGAGGGACGAGGGACGTCACCTCGCAGAGCGCCAGGCAGTACCGCATGCACCACCGCGCTGTGCGAGGCCTGCCAGTCAAGACACAGGGACCAAAAAGTCGAGCTAAAAATGATGTAAATGGCGCTACTGGCCCCTTAAACATTAAACAAAAGGGGAAGGGCGGACTGTGTGCAACGTAAGGGAGAGTGGGGTAATTCCGGACACGGGGTAATTCCGGACACTTCGATTTTCACTGGGTTTGAGTGAAGATAACTAACTCAAAAGCCCGCCTAACAGAGGAAGATAATCAGTTTAAAAGGAGAATTCCAAATCGCCAAAGTAGGAGGTCAAACCGTTTGCCTGTGGTCGCTTCACGAAATTTGAGTACCATCAAAAATAGGCAAAAGCTGCATCTTTCCCTCTTATTTCCATGTACTTATCGTACCTTACCGTCAAGTTCAGTCCCATGACTAAAATTTTATCATATTATATGGTCATTGGACTTTACTTTGGCGTTTCAGGAGTGCTCGTATGGCTCGCCGTTTTCTTACAGTTGAACATCAAAGGTTTTCACTACCTGTGGGGTAAATCCAGACAGTAAGGGTTATTTTCTTCAATTTCCCGCATAATGTTAAGGTAGTGGGTTCAAAATTGTGGACATGCATCCCTACCGTTAAGAAGGATAAAGAAAGAACGAAAAATAGCATTGCAGCTATGTTTAAGAGCTTTACTCAAGACAGTGTTGTCAATTTAGGGGTTTTGATAGAAATTATTCCTTATTATATGCTTTGAGTAATAATCAAACGCTTCAGTTCGCAGCAAATGTCCTTGAACGCCTTCTAAAAGCATGCCTCACATCAAAACAAGCGAAAGTAAGCTCGAGTAGTGTCAAATTTTAAGGTCGTCCGGCATTGCCCCATAGGTCGTCCAGAATTACCCCAGCCTGGGGCAATTCCGGACACGTGCAGGGCTTTTGTTAGGCGCCTATATCTCCCTAACCGTTGCTGAGATTTGGCTTTCATGTATACCATTTTGAAGGTAAAGGTCCATACTTTACTCTCCTGTCATAACATTTAACCCAAGA